CAGAAATTGGGAGGTAAACTTTAAAAATGTGAATCTGGTTAAACAAAAATCTCACTCTTACATTCTTTCTTGAAGTACACAGCTCTCTCTAGAATGAGTGACATGATCGTATTCTGCAGAGGGGGATATCTAGTCTTCTAGGCAATTCTCTAATTCCGATGTAGAATCTAATAGTTGGGGTGAAGCATATACAATATCTATGTCCATCCAAAACAAAACAAAGCAAACTTTTATTAGGCCAGTGAATATTCACTGCTAAGAAAAGCATCCGGAAAGTGTTGTACATCTGTGGCTTGAAATAGAACTCACTTTTGATAGTAGAAGCTATAATAATGACTACATGAAGTAGGTTAACTCCCTCGCTTTTTAGGTTTAGCAATCTTGGCTTAGGTTACGAGGGAACAGATTTTCCTAGTTTTAATGTGTTTCACACTAGATATTTGCCCACTTCTTCTAGATATAAACCGATCTCCCTGCCACTGGCAGGATAGACCATTTCTTGAGCAGGCTGAGGTAGTCATCAAGAAATCTGAGAATTTCTCGAGGAACTCAAAGGAAGCCATAGGCCACGCTTTATGGTAATTATATTTGCTATTTAAAATTAATAATCATTAAAGTCTTATATAATACATATTGTTATAATTGACTGTAATGTATGGCTAATTCTCACAGGAGCTTGCCTTGGTAGGCAGTTAGAAGTTGAGTATTTTGGAGAAAGCTCTGGGGATCTAGGCTTATTCAAGTGGGGGAAATGAAGGATAAAGAATTATTTATGGGCTGTTGTTGAATAATGGATTTTTCTCATGAAGAGGATGATATTGAACTACTGTTCACAGAAATCCAAATAATATTAAATGAGTTTCAGTTGAAGGGTGCAGGATTTAATTAGACTATATAGGAAGATTTCCTTTAAATAAGCAGATTTCAACATAGATGGAGTTCCAGGCCACAGATGCAGTAGCTGTCCAGGCAGGTGGCTAGTACCTGTGGAAAATGTGAGAAAATTTCCACAAGTAAATGAAAGTGGGAGTGTAGGAGTGTAAGTCATGGCTTTGTTTGTTTTGTTACATTTGATAAATCATAGGTGTTTCATCCTGATGAAAAATGGAAACCACTACTATATGCAAGTACAGTTAGACCATGCCTCCATGGAAGAGAATGCTGGGTAACCTACGGTGATGACCAAGTAGACCCAACCAGAAACTTAAGAGATGATTTTTAACCTTATCAAAAGACATAATAGGTCTAGGGATTTAGCTCAGTGACACAAATCCCTGCCTGGAAAATGTGAGGTCATGACTTTAATCCCCAATACAAAAAAAAAAGAGGCATATTTAATGTAGAAATATTGCTTCATTCCCTCTTTATGTTAGAATCCTATTTAAATTATAATGTTCATCATGAGCATCATCAGAATTTATTGAGTCAGCCAACAGATTTTCAAAGGCACATTTCTTCACTTGAATCCATCGTATCTGAGACACATTATCTAAAATTCTGTATATGTGGCCGTTGCTAGGTGATTCATCTCAAGTCCAAGTACCCAGTCATGTAAGTTCAGAACTATTATTTTTTATGTGTCTTGTGGGTACACATTCATGATTTCCACAATGTATCATTTTCCTGTATACTTTTAAAGGTTATCTTAAAATTATAGAGCAATTCATCAACTATTTCCAATTGTGAGATCATATCCAAATGAATAACTTAATAAATCTGGATTAAATGTTGACTCTTTTCAAAATGATTCCATCATGTGACATCTTTAGACATACAAGCCAACCTTTGATTGTAGGGCCTTTTATTCCTCTCAGCAAATCTACTTTTCCTCAATACTTTAAGTGTGCATCCCATAATGCAAAGGTACTTTAACATTTGAATATATCTTATTTCCTCTTTTCCAAGGGATGACATTTGAGGAAAAGGCTTTTATTTGGAAATATGGAATGTGCTGTCTTCAATGTCATTGTCTAGGGTAAATAGACTTGAGGCCAGAGATGTAGCATGCCAAGATGTAGTTTGAGCACAGAACCTTTCATTAAAGATTAGTGACATAGGTTATACAGCTCTAGAATCTTCAACAGTGGGGAAGCGTGTCACAAAGATGAATTCTCCAAGTTACTTGGAATTGTATTTCAATTCCAGGATTTCAACAGATTTTAATCCGACTTGGTGGCAGGGTTTATTTTCAGGTTCCTTATGTGAGACCCAAGGAAATCACTAGTTGAATGGAAGTTGTTTCCTAACGTTTCATGAAAAGTTAGAATTCTTGCTTTCATTTCCTGAGCTAAGTCCTCTCTCACTCCCCTCATCCCCTGCAATATAAAAGTCATCAATAGTTAATTTTTTCTCCCACCAAGTGGTGACTGTTTGATTTTAGTCAAACTCTCCCCTGACCAGTATAAATACCTAGTGAGAGATGAGGCTTGCGTGGGCTGCTGAGGGGGGCTCAAGTAGCTGTGCGTTCAAAGTACTTGCTGAGGCAGAAACAGCCTTTTTGTTTTGAAAGCATGTTAATGTGATAATGAAATGCACAAAGCAAAGAGGTTCATCCATATAAATGGGCCATTTAAATAATGAACAAGGAGGAAGGATGTGGTTTGGTGTCGGTACTGATTAATTGGGACATAAAAATAAATAACCATCCCAACATTGGCTTCCTCCCTTGAAACTCACTCTATTAGGGGGCAATGAAGTTAATGCAATTGACAATATAATTACAGGTTACTGAGCAGAACAATTCATGAAGAAGCTCTTGCTTCTCTTACATCTTTAATTAGCTAGATAGCATCTCTGTTAATTTTCTCATTTCTGTCTTGCTGATCTTGTGGTAGAGAAATCTAGCCTTTGCAACTAATCTCTTAAGATGTATGGGGTATTAGATATATAGATCTACAGTATTGTTCTAGATACTCAGTGCATGCAACCTTCACCACATGACTGCCTTGCAGCATTCATTGTGCAGACACAAGCTAGCAAGTTTACAGGCTTACACTCCCGCAAAACACAGCAGCGTCAACCAGTGACTTTTTTCTCCTATTACCTTCTTCTCTGGAATCTTTTTACCTGTCATAGGAAAAGTTTACAGTTTCAAAGTCTGATGTTATAGGGGATTATGTTAAGGTTGATGGCATATTGTCAGATTAATTCCCTCAGGAAAGAGTTAAACTTGAGGCAACTCTACTTAATCTACTTTACACAATCATGACTGAGGATAACACAAGGTAGTTGAAAGTTAATAAATAACTCAGCTTCAAATACTCAAGGAACATGTAACCTGAGATCTATTAGCATCACTAGAGGTCATTTAGACTACTGGAAGGACACCTGAAATTCTGTCTCTGTCTCGCTCTGTGTCTGTCTTTGTGTCTGGCTGTCTGTCTGTCTGCCTCTCTCCTCTATTACATTAAAAAAGCCAAGAAAGCTATTGAGTTGCTTATCTTGTCCCATAGCATTCCTAGTAAGTATGACTGTAATTTCATTAACATTTTCTTGCTACAAATAAGTGATGATTCTTAAGTGGGTTTTGACTTAGGACAAAGTTGGTGTATATTCTCAAAGACCTAAATTCAGTCTGACAGACAGAATTTTCTCAACTGTTGTTTTCAGAGTCTATTTTTAACCATCCAGTGTAAAAACTAGCTTTCTTATTTTGTGAAATGAAGCTAGAAATCAGAATTGAATTGTGTTTTTGAAAATAAGAAAAATGTTCTTCATGTTTTAGTAGTGATGGTCTCCAAGATTTCAGTTCCTGTCTCCAAGATTTATATTTTATTTACTTTTCCTGCATATTCCCAAGGTTTTCAGTTCAAAGTAAATTGTCAAGACTTTTAACTAAAACTTTCTCTCTTCCTCTCTCTCTGTTTCTCTCTCTCTCCTCTCTCCTCCCCCACCTCCTCTTCATCCTTGAAAAATACGGAGAATGTAGAATTTTCTGGTTTCCACAATGGTTCATTTGTATTCTCTAAACCCAAGTCCAAGGCAAGTTCTAATGTCTTGCTGTTTTATGTCACCACTGAGGTAGCAGTGACAAGCTGGCTGCTGATGAATAAATATATTTATCTGGCTTCTAAACCTGCTTACACTGTTGAATCATAATGAGCAGATGTTAACAATTACTCCAAATGTCTTGAATATTTTGTAAAACTTTTATCTGACTTAGGGTAGTTTATTGATTTAGTCAGAATCATGCCCCGGGCATAAAACATATTGTCATTTGGGATTCAGCATAGGCTGTATGCATGTCTATTAACATTTTAAACTCAGACTCCAGAGCCTTGCTTCTGGAACCTTCTGAACATAAGTGTCTCTAACATGTTCTTGGTCCTTCTTATGTAAACCAAAGCATATCTTTTGGCAAATTTCCTACAGCCTCATCTTTTAGAATATGGAATTAAAAAACTAGGAATAGGAACATAGTGAATATGAAATCTGAACATAAGCTCCATGCATTTCAGGTAAACAATGCAATCCAGCAAGGGGAAAAAAATCCATGTTTATTTTTAAATGAAATAAAAATCTATATTCCTATTTCTCTGGAGTTGTGTTTTGGTTTTTGTTGTTGTTTTTTTTTTTTTTTTTTTTTTTTTTTTGTAACATCAAGACATTTTAGTTGAATGATACAGAAAGTCCCTTTGAATTCAAATATAAAATAAGGCCATCCATCATGTTAACAATTTAATTACCTGAGTATATATTTTTCCGGCAAAAAACCCCATTATTTGTCGTGTATCTTATTACTGCATGGTTGCCTCAGGACAGCTGCGTTGTCACTGGGCAGGGGTTGTGGTGGGAAATGGTGAGATAGGGAGCAGATAAGCCCTGGAGCCTTCTGCCTTCTTCAGGGCCCCTGGATCCGTGTTTGCTGGAGGCCTTACCTGCTGAAGTCCCTGTAATCCTTGTTACAACAGTGAAACGGTGACTTGTAAAGGCAATGAAGCATGAAAGAGAGAGTGAAAGGGTCGAATGAAATTGAAACGTAGTATTTTCTGTCTTCCTAGGGCCCAGGAATTAGGACTCTAGCTGCTGAACTATCAACCTAGGACACTGCGAGATGTGAGATGTGCTCCTTAGGCCTCGTGGCAGAGGCAAAAATAAACAAGACCCGGTTCCTCTGATTGTGTCGGCGTCTGCTCTGCCAAGACTGCAGATCAAGGAAACTTTTTAGCTTTAAAAAAAATGAAGAGCTTTGAGTGAGGGCTGCAAAGTGAAAGAGACAATTCCCGGTCCTTCTGGGAGCAACGTGTTACAGGGGTGCCTTTGTCTGGCGCACTCACCGGGTGGCAGGCAGGTGTCTCGCGTGGCTCTGTTGTTGTTTTCTTGCTTTTCAATGCCCTGAGTACTACAAACACCTACAACAACATATACTAATAGATTGATAATAATCACTTTGGTGACTGGTGTGCATAAAATGGCAAAGAGATTTTTTTTTCTGCTTTTATGCCTTTATGAACCACTGTAGTTGGCTTGCTGTCTTGCAGTGAGTGTTGTTAACCGAGAAAGACAAAAAACAAAGGCCAGATGCCAACCAGCCATAAGCTCATGCTGCTTGTTTCCTGGCTGGGTCGTGTTACGAGAAAGAAGGTGTTCTGTCCATGGTAAGGCACCAAATTGAGGGTAATTCCTGCATTTCAGAGTAGGAGTCTGAAAGTAACAGCGGCAACAGGGTTCATTTGACAACTGTAGGTGAAAGTAGCCCAGAAAGCTACTAGCTGTCTACTGGAAAATCTGTGCTTAGGAATTTCACTACACAGCCTCTGCTGGGTCTCTGTGCTCCTCTCTCTCTCTCTCTTTTGTAAATCTCAGTGTACATCATTTTAAAAAAATGTCTCTCCCTTTCATGCCTGAAGAAGAGTTGCTGTTTATTCTGTGGCTAAACAAATGAATGGAAGCTTCTTCTAAGTGGATTCACTGGAGATGGTCCAGAAATTGCCGATGATGAGAACAGGGTAGTTTTTCTTATGGTTCCTTGATAATTTTACAAACGCACTTGATTTTCATAGTGAATGAATGTTTTCATAAATGGAAACAAATAAAACAGTAGGCAGAGACTTTCTCAAATGCTTGCCAAAAACATTAAACACACAAAAGTACATTCACAGTGAAAATTGGTTGAAAACAGCTGTTTTAAAAGATTTTGGGGAATGCAGTTAACAGCATCATCATTATAAGGCCCAAAGCAAACGTGTTACTGATTACACCCCATGAAGAAATCAGAATGTGTTCCTCCAAGAAAACACCGTCGTGCATGCTGTTTGCAAATAACTGCAACGCAGGCTTTGTCATGATTGTGCAGCTTATCTGTCAGGATAACACTTGCAGGAAAATGAGCATACAACTTCTCTTAACTAATCAGAGCTTTTAATCATATTGTCTGAGTGTAAGTTTCCTCTGCATCTCTTCCCTCTTCCCAAGTCGGCTCTGTCCCCGTGGGTTGTACTCCATTTCGAAGCTGCACAAGAAACTGGATAAGAAAGAAACAGGGGACTTCTACTTGTGGGGGCACACAAAACCAGCCGACCAGTTGGTTTGAGTGTCAAACCCACTGTAGTTCTAGGTCAGCTCCTTAGAGAATGTGTTTGCCCTGGGAGCACAGAATGTGTTCAGGGTGGGATGGAAGGCTGCGGTGGGGTCTGTGGGGTATGGAAAATTTAATAAGGACCATGGGATTACTGCCCTGAGAAGTAATGTTCATGTGTTGAAAGGGCACTGTCAGAATGCCACGGAAGTGGGACCTGCCGCATGTCTGCAGCTCGGCTGTTATTGTTCAGCCTGTGTCTGCACTGTCTGTCCACTGTGGCACCAAAGGGCTTTACAAACACTTTCCATAATGGGCCTGAAGCCTCCTGAGGGCTCTGGGGTATTAGGTGAGAAAGAATGCAAAGTCCAGTAGTTGGCAAGGAAAAAGAAAAAAAGGCTTTTTCACCTTCTCCACACATCTGATAGAAGGGTCGGATTTCTTCTGGTGATGAAAGAGTCACGGCTGGGGACCAGCCTTCTTTCACACCACGGGGCCACATTGTGGGTCATGCTGGGACTAGCTGCCTTCTCCTTGACTTCCTGAAATGGTAAGGAGGACCCTAATGTCCAGGACGGACTTGGTGTGCTAGACACACACAGAACTCGGTATTATGGCAATACAAATATGAGAAATCAGGTGATTCTGTTATAAGAGCTGTATGGTTATTATTTCACTTGTGTGAGGCTGCTTTGAGGCCAAGTATGGAAATTTTGTGAAGTTCTATAAACTCTGCGAATCTCTTTGAGCCTTTTTAAAAATAGAATAAGACCTACCATATACAACTTTTGTGAGTAGCACCCACCAAATGCAAATATGGATGTGCAGCTTTTATAAATTTGTATATACACATGTGCACATGCCAGCAGACTTTCAGAAAATGAATGTCAGCATTACACTTAGAGGCATCCCTTGGACACTTAGGTTTGATTTGAAATTTCATATGTGAGACAGGCTTCCCTATTTATTGAAGGGGAGGAGAGTTCCTGGGGAAATCCTTCTCCACTAATTTAGGCTTCTCCTCCTCCACCTTCTCCTCCAATCTAATTGGAATATTGGAGACACCCAGGGTTAAGCTGAGGCAAAAATAGACTTGCCAGGCAGAGAAGCAGATTGAGCAGTGATTCTATTCCAAACACTTAGGATTCCCAAGACCTCAAAGGAGGTGTTGGGATGTGTCCTTGAGGACCTTGAAAGGTGATCACATGGCAGCTCGAGGTGTCTGGTGGTGGCGGAGCACCATAAACGCATTCCCTACATGCCGCCTGGGCTTTATCTTCCCTCCTTGTACAGTTCTGAGCGTGGAAACCCTCCTCAGTGGGACTGAAGGGCTTTTCTGAAGTCCGGAGAAAGGCTGGCTGCAGAACCTGAGATTGGTGTACCTGAAGGAACTGTGTCTGAAGGAGGCCGGCCTCACAAGGCACCTTTTGTCCAAGCTGACAGTGTGAGGGAAACATGGAGAATTGCTGATAAGTGTATTGCACCCAAACTTTGATGTAACAGATAAATCTATTATTGATAATGCTCCACCTATGACTCTTGGGAAATGTTTTCGATAACATGACACAAATATTAGTATTACCAACTATCAGTAGAAGTCATTTGCCAGGAAGAAAATACAGTTGATTTTGAACAAATGCAATGGTGATAGAGGTCAGCTATAAAGCCAGGTAACTATATAACTCTATCACTATTTCCTTTTCAATGAATTATGGGCAAGATAAACAATTTTAAGGAGCCTACATATAAATGTGTTTCAAAAATGACTTGAATATTTAGAGTAAAATTTATTCTTCATTTAAAAAGTGAGAGATTTGATTAAATTGTAACAATAAATTCTGAAGATGAGATCTAGGACTAGGGTTTTAATCTTGACAAATGGAAATGATTTGGAGACAGGATCTTTCTCATATGAATTTTATACAACCTTATTATTGTTGTTGTTAAAATAACTGAAGTAACTCATGTTTTTATTGCCATATAAAGTATTTTTATTGTACAATGGTTCTTTGTAACCATACATACTTCATTGCTCATCCATTTTTTTCTTTTTTTCAATTCTGTAATCAATTATCAAACATAATTGTGTTTCAAATGTGATTGAAATCATTAGAGATGAGGGGCTGGGGATTTAGCTCAGCGGCATAAGCGCCTGCCTTGCAAGCGTGTGGTAGAGAGTTCAATCCCCAGTACCGATAAAAAAAGTACGGACAAGAAATCATTAGAGATATAAAGAAAGCATAACTTGAATCTTGTTTCCAAACAACTTGTATAATAATGGTTTTCCTCTAATTCTGTAGTTGTTTGAAGTAGTCATATACTATGGATGATATTATCTCCTTGGAAACATTTCCCTCATAGAAATTACTCTAAAAAAGAGATTTCTGAAGTGGTACCCACAAACCAGGCTTTGTAGAAAATGGATATTTGGGGCACAAAAACATATTAAGACCTATTTCTATAACTTTGCTACCATTTTTATTTAGATTTATTAATATGTATATCCCTGTACTGTATATTATATCATGTGTGGATAAGTAGAGTAATTTATAAATAGTGGTTTATATCTGCACATATTGGGATACACAGTGAATGCATTTTATTGTTATAGTATGTGATGCTAAAATATTTGGAGGCACTGCTTTATGTTATGTTTTCCTCGAGAACAGAAGGACTGCTCATTTGTTTCAGCTTTTGATTTCTCAAATCACACCTTATGACATAAGCAATGTTGTGCACATGGCTTACTTGCTTTGCCTTGAAAACAGAGCACCATGGAGTCAGAACTCGAGGGAAGCTAAGAAGGTCATCAGGCTGATTTGGTTTCCTTTCTGGGCAGGATGATACAGACCAATAGGCTTCTACTCTATTTAGAATTACCTCTGTATTTTCCCCCAGGAAATTATTTAAGTGGTGGCATTTGTATTTACTTTGAAAGATAATGGGTATTTGGCCAAGAAAAAAAAAAAAAAGGTAAGGATAAGCTCCTTGGCTTATTCAGAATGTAGTACTTAACGTAGTTATTCCTCTGTTTGTTTCAGTGGAGAAGAGGATATAGGTTTTGAGAACTAATGGAACACATGGCATATAGCAATACAGTCCAAAAGAAATAATACTGCAAATTAAAAACAAAACCAACAAAACCCTGGTGAAAATAGCTTTAATATTTTTCTCTGCAAATGTATCACTTTGATCAATTCCACATTTAGGGTTCAATTTTTCCTTTACAAACGAATATCTGATTTTGTTGTGAGAAAAGGTGATCACAATGCTTAAATGATATTATGTCTTCTCAGTGTTATGCTTTAGAGTTCACAGAATATTTTCAAACTGGTTATCACATCTGACTCTTACAACAAATCAATACATGCCTAATGTGATGCAGGAGTAAAAGGAAATGGTACAAAGTCAGTGGGAAAAAATGGGGTCTCACTATTTCTAAGTCCAGAGATACTTCTTTGTGCCAGTGCTTCTCAGGGTGTGATGTGAATGGAACTTGGTCGAGGACCTTGCTCAAATGAAGGTTCTGGGTGAGAAGCTTTGGAATATGGACTGAGGGCTGACTTTCTAACGGGCTCCTGGGTGATGCTGATGCCTTTTTCCACAGATCATAAAAGTAGCAAGATTCAAACTCATAACTGGCTGCTATGTGATGTGACTGAGACAGCCTTGGGAGAAGCCAGGTGCAGTGTATTTAGGGTAGTCAGAAGAAAGGTTTATCACTGCTTCCCATTTCAGAAGAAGACAAAGTACGATGCTGTACAGTGTTCAGTCATACCCCGCTAAACTTCTGTGTTCCTTTCTCTCCATCATTTCTGTTCTCATCCGGACACCTGTATCTCTTCTGGGACATTGCAGCAGCCCCAGAGTAACTGTTCACATCTATTTGCCATCAATCTCTACACTACCATCAGCTTTTTCTGTCTAAAACATAATATCATCGTGCTTTTCCTACCTTTAGGGTTCTGCAGTGATTCTCCATTTCCAGTAAGAATAGAAGCCACTTTTTGGTGCAGCACATTGGAGTCCTCAAAGTCTGACCTATATTTTTCAAATGCGTCTCCTACAGCTGACACTGTAGTCACAATGTGTCCTCATCTGCGGATACCATGTTCCATCCAACCAAAACATTTCACATTTCCCAACTATAGCATACTTGCTTTTTTTTGATACCCTGGAGTTTTATTCTTAATGTGTTATAGCTCTTTTTATTAAACATGTCTTTTCATTTAGTCCTTTTACTCATAATCACTAGAAGGCAGTTGCAAGAGAACCTCAAATATCAAGATTCAATTAACAAAAAATAACAGGAAAAAGTGATGAGCATAAAATCATCTGACATGTAAGTATTTTGAAAAATATCTTACACTTATGTATCTACAGATGTATTCGATAAAAATCGTTCAAAATGGGGCCAGGAATATAGCTTAGTGGCACAGTACCTGCCTGGCAAGTACAAGATCCTGAGTTTGAGTCCTGGTACAAAAAAAGAAAGAGAAAGAGAAAGAGAAAGAGAAAGAGAAAGAGAGAGAGAGAGAGAGAGAGAGAAAGAGAGAGAGAGAGAGAGAATTGTTCAAAAACAATATTGTGACAATCTAAGATACTAAATTATCTGCTAGTGTTTTATTTTTAACAATATAGAATGTTTCATGAATTTGCATATCTTCCTTACAAGGGGTCATACTAATCTTCTTGTATCATCCAAGTTTATTCTATCTATGGCTAATAGGAGCAGCCTAGCTCTTTACGTTATCTAATACGAGACATTTAAATCTAATGAAAAAGATTTATAAATGTAATTGTTTACAATGGAGTGATGGAATCTTAAATTGTGTGTGTGTGTGTTTATGCATAGCTGATACCTGACACTGTTTTTTTACGTGGTAAGCATACAATAAGTATTTCCTGAATGGATTTACTAGTGCCTGATATAACTATAATCTTAATGGGATTAGTACATGAGATGGTTGAATAGTTCTGCAATTTAAAAGAAAGTAAAATAATTAGGATCATATATTTGCGTGGAATTCACAAAAATTGTTCAAGATTATCATTGCATGCTTAGAGAAATGATGGAGATTTTAAACTTTGCACAACAGTTTGTTTAGCATATCTTGACAAATGACATCTTTTGAGTAAGAGAAAAAGATAATCCCAACTGTGTTATGCTTTACCCCACAGCATGTTCCAGGGACTTTTCTTTCCCTTTCTGACAACTTTATTTCACTGAGAGGCATTAGCGCTGGGTGCCTTATGCCTGATGATGACTACTGGTTCCTGTGTGCTCCTCCCTTCTTCCACGTATGATTTCTGTCAGCATTGTTCCTTTCAGAGATCTTTGCGGAAGAACTTTAAAAGGTGATATTTTTAAAAACTGGGACCCTTGATCATAACAATGAAACACTTGTCTTGCCTTTGCATGTATAATGGCAGAAGGTTGCCTTTGGGAAGCAACAGAAATGTCAAAAATTAACATCAAATATTGTTAGAATATTGACATGCATTATTTGGATCAGGAAGAGAAAAGAAGTAATTTTACTTGTTACTAAAAAATATATTGAATATTGGATGGGAATTAAAATTAGAGGCTTGAATAAGTAAACATTAACTAAATATTTTCATTTACTCTAGAGCGAAACCATACATTTTCACAACTAGGTACACAAATTAATGCATACACATGGTCATGTAAAATATTTTTAATTTCCAAGAATGGAGTCCTCCAATCTTTTTGTGTTAACAAAAATCTACAAAAATATTCTCTTCTCTTTTCTGCTTCACAAATTTTTCTTCCTGTGCTTCTATCACCACCACTCACGTATCGTCTTTTGCTTCTCTCTCTTCCTCTGAGTTGTAATTTGTATTTACTGCCCAACAGCTATTTAACGAAGAAGTTTCTCCTTTCTTCTTGTGTTTGGTGAGTGGAGCAGGAGAATGTGGTGCAGAAGGAACTGATCACGTTCATTCTGATGTTCCAACATCAGATCAAGACATCAGTAAGCGATCAGATTCAACATAACAGACAAAGATGCGCTACAAGAAAGACTGAGATTTGTGGTCAGAGGTTCTAGCTCAATTCTGAATGGCTGAAATCTTGGTTTTTGTGGTGGCTGTTGAAATGTACAGAGGCAGTTTGAAGAAAATGCCTAGAAATTCAAAGTGGAGAACAAGCTAGAAATAGCTCAGGTGAACCAAGATAATGCTGGAATGATCACTTCTTTATCTAACTGAAAATTCTATCAAATGGTGAAGGTGAAGATCACTCTTACCTCTTTGATTTAGAATAAAATCAACCAGGCACAAATGAGCCTACCCAGGACAGGATAGTAGAGGCCCTCTACTGAAAGGAGTTGGGGCGACCGGGAAAATGATGTGGGACGTGGGTAGCCGTGCAGTGCCATTTCACTGCTCGGTGCAGTATACTTCACGGCTGGAATGAACTCGGTGTAGTTCAAGGTTGGACAGTTGGTGTTTTCAAAGTAGTAAGTGTTTTTTAAAAATTTATCTCAACACCTCTGAAAAGAATTGGAGAAATCTCAATATTTGGCTTGACTTTTCAAGGTCAAATAAATGCTACAGCAGCGGATAAGGCAAGCAACTGACCAAAAGGAGAGTGAGTTCGTCACGCATCAGGAGCCTTCATTGCTCCCTCTGACCATGCGAGCTGAGACCGCATAAAAGCAGCTCCATTTGATTCTTAACTCCCCCCACCCCCCTTTTTTTGAATTCTGTTGTCTGTCATTCTACGGCATTGATTATCAAAGCATTTGAGGACTAACATGATAATCTGGCATTTATATTGGTAAACCTGGTAAAACTTACCAAATAATCTTTGGAAACCACGTTTAGGAAATATTTCTGAGACTGTAGTAATGCTTTCATTTTGTATGTTGACTTCCATCTAAAATCTCTAAAAGAAATTTGGAAACTACAAAATTTTTAGTGCATTCATTTAGAAAATCATAGTTTCATTTTAATGTAATCCCAGCAAAACATATTTAGAATTGGATCCAAACTTGTAGAACTGAACTTGTCCAATATGCAGACTGACTAAATAAAAAGGAGATTTTGGCAAAATTATGATACTCCATCACCTGTGTACAAAATTCTGATGATAGCCAAGAGGACATCAGGAGTGTTACATGCCCTTTAAGAGAGAGCTAGATACTATGAAATCTTTGTGTACACGTTGGTACCTAGCCTGGTAAAAAAACACAGTGTACCAATGAGATCCCTTTACATCCTTATTTATGTCATCATTCATTCAGTAAATACTTCTTGGGATTTTTCTTTGTTCTGTGGACCTTGCTTGGTGCTGTGTTTGCACATGTATCTTTGGTACTTCTCCCCAAGAGAAACTGATTTGGTTCACTTTAGAAACACTTTACACTAAGAGGATCATTAAGATCTCTTTAGTCTGGGACTTACATGATAAATGGAAGTGGGTCTGAGTTTTGCTGGAGCAGATAGAACAAGGGCATCTTTTTTAGAAGAAACCCTGCTTGGGAGTCAAGTAGAAAGTTTTGTTGTGAGAATTCCCTTGCTACAGTCCTATTTAGTAGTTGGAGCAGAGTTCACATCTGGGACTCCCCAAAGAATTGGCCATTATGAGAACCCAGTGAAACAAGAGGAAACAGAAGTAATATATATTGAAAGGCTTAATCTGATAGCTTGCCTGTCTTCAAAGGAAGTTGCATTTGTGAAGGACATGCATGCTTGTGAAGAAAGGACCTTCATTAGGCATTGTAAAAGACTAGCTCCGGAACTAGGAGGTATTGGACTTGTTCTGTGCCCAATGGGGGACTGTGCTGGACTAAAATTCATCTCTTTGGGTGCTGTGGCAGAGTCCTCTGTCCAGTAAAGCCCAGCTTCTTCCTTTTTCTGTAAATTAAGATTTATTTGACAAGAAGATTCCACACAGAAGCAGGAGAGTTACAGCCTGACGAAGCAGAGCTCACACTCATTAGTTTTGTTTCATCTCCCTTAATTTTTTATTTTTATTAAGTTAGGACATGTTTCGTCATACTTCTTGTTTCCAGGGAGGGAGTAGATTTGACATCATCTATGCTCATGAGGTCAAGAAAAAGAAAATGAACTATTTGTATAAGAGTGAGAACCAGAGAAAAACCATTGAGGCTGCTATAATACACATTCTCTGTTCCTTGTCTTACTCTACTATGTTGCCTGTCATGATTTCAAAGTATTCCTATGATATGAAAGGAAAGAGGAGCCTCATGGAATGCAAAGAATTCTGGAATTACTAGAACCTATATGGTGCCAATAGTGTGTGTGTGTGTGTGTGTGTGTGTGTGTGTGTGTGTGTAACACAGATCAGCTTACATTATATCCTCTTTTCTGAAGTATGAGTCTTTCACTAAATATTTTGGTCTTATAATGGTAGCAAATATTTTGACTGTCTCATGTACAATCAAAGCACTTCAGAAGCTTCGAATTATTTAATATAGACTTGCCACATTCTTTTCAATTATATTTAGTTTGATTAGTTGCCAAGTGTCAGAGATTTAAGGTATTTCTGGTCTTCATTTCCATCATATAGCAACAGTGATTGCCTCTGAGGGAGGGAACACAGATTGGGGAAATTTTAGCTTTGTATGTATTGTTATGTAGCATTTTTCAATAAAGATATATTCAAGTATTACTGTGTGTTAAACTAATTTTTAAAAATAAATACAGGATTGGCAGTATTAGGTACATAATTTAACCAATTTATCTTGTACTCCCCACTTTTAAGATACCATATGCCATAAAATCTAGCCAAGTTGCTATAGCAGACAGGAAGATGTTGTACATTAAAATCCATTATCTTGTGTTCTGTGTATTCAAAATGGTTCTTACTCTATCATATCTAGATTTTAGTTTTTCAAAGAATTCATAAAAAGTAAATACCCCAGTGAGTGTTCCCTAGCTTTAACAAAAATTCCATCTACGTTTTAAAAAGAGAACTTGAAAGACATCAATCCAATATTATAGTTAACATAATTTTGAAATTTCATAGTTACTTGTATAAATACAAACCCTCTTAATTTCCTACAAGCTTCCTAACTGGAATCAGATAAACTTTTGAGCTTCATCTAGCACTGCAGACCAATTTAAACTGTAGTTTGCACTGTGCAGTTTTTTGAACCTTCATTCTGGATAGCTGTTATAGAATTATTATGTGACTACTCTGAATATCTGAATATGTGGACACTCATTATCAAATATGTATAGTAAAAAAAAGGAAGATGGTAAATAAAACAGTGTATTTTAAGTTGACATTTGTGTATCGTTGGAAAACTAAGATATTTACCAGGATAACAATGTACAGTACACAAGATGACCTTGGGATGTTATCAAGCCGTTTTGCTCACAAGATATTGCATACATTAAACACCCTGGACAGGAGACCTTCCAAAACCAGACCCAATGACAAATGTGGATAACAATTTTAATCCTGAGCAAATTACAGGGATAAAAATTAGATATTTTTTATCTAAGTATTTACCCTGTGAAGGCAGACAAAGTCTAGTTGTCCTTTTGAGGTCAGGTCAAATGCTGACAGTTAGTTTTGAATTCCTAGCTTTTAAAATGTTCTTAATATCATTACTCCAGGTTGTCCTCACCATTGCAGCAGGGCTCATGATAGAGGGTCTTTCTATACCATCGTGTTGTGAGCACCCTACCAGGTGTTTGCATTAGACACCTGTGTCCCTCCTCTGTTAGAGAGGGACCTCCCTGGAGACGCTGCCCTGAAGCTCTGTGGCTTACTCCAGGCCTTGCCTGCCTGTTTTCTGCAGTTTTGCTGCAAATAGTAATTGAGTGAAAGCACCGTAAAAGTTCTTTACAGTTTGAATATGCTACTGCCATTTTTATAAATGTGAATCTTATTTTAGTTTATGTTATACATCTTGGCTCACTTTAATGTCTGTTATTAATTCTGGAGTCAGAGCTGTCCAGTCGGACTTTCTACAGTGATGAAAATATTCTCTACTCTGCACTCTCATTATGGGGGCCACTCGTTGATACGTGGTTATTGAACATTAGTGTGAGTTGGAACATTAGTGTGAATTTTTACTTATTTAAAATAGTTTATGAACTGAATTCATTTTAATTATTTTCCATTTAAATAGCGATATGTGGCTAATGATTACTGTGTTTGACAGTGTACTTACAGATGTTTGTCATATTTTTATAGACCTAGAGAGTCAATATTTATGTTACAGTTTTCATGTGAAAAAATTACCCCTGTGGTTTATTTTATTTATTATTTAATTTGCATTCAAAATTCAGATCTTATCTTCCAACTTGTTTTTTGATTCCAATTTGTTTCTTTTTCCCTTAGAGTACGGAGCTCACACTTAGGTCCTCAGACACGCTAGACGAGCATTCTGCCCCTGAGCTACATTCCCAACCCTGTTTCAACTTCTTAATTTTTCCCCAATTCAACTTCCCTACCATTTCCAACTAGCAGGTACTTTTTGGCAGCTTATCACCAGAAAATAATGTAAATGCTGTGAGCTAGAGAAGTATGCTTAGTTCACAAGGATATTATTAAAACTTCACAGTATGTGTTTTCTTAGATTTCTAGTTCTTACGATTCAATTGACATAGACTGAAACCCAGGATATATATTGAATATGTATCTCTCCTTTCTTGAAACTCAGGCAAGCTTTTAAAAACACTCATCTTGAAGGAGCTTTGGAGTGCTGTGATGCACTCCTGCCTGCTTGCTGAGCTGAAGGTCCTGGCTTAGCAGCTGCCAGCCAGCCATGGCAGCACCAAGTGCCAGAGCAGTCTTCCTTTAGGGCTTCCAGGAACCAAGCTGCCAACAAGTAGGAACCTCTTGCTCCCTTATGGGGACTTTGAATGTGATTAGGATGAGCAATGATTCTCCAGAAGTGGGTAGAATGTTAAAGCAATAAACATGCGATTACACACTGCATACACCCCATTCTTCACACACGCCGCCTGAGATCTTACAGAGAAACCGCAGTGTTCTCAAGCCTGCTCTCAGGTTCCTTCTCTTTACTTAGAGGCCAACCAGGATGCACAGAAAACATACTGATACCACCTAGATAATTATTGACTAGGTGTAGCATGGATGGTGGAGGCTGTGTCCATTTTGCCTCCTGGTCGTGTTGTGCTGATAGAGGTTGCTTATTTCTATGTAGAAGCGTGATGATTTTCGTTCTTTGTGATGAGAACTTCAGCGACTGAGACCAAGGTAATTTGATTGAGTGTTCCTGCAGCATATTTGGCTTTTGCATTTTGAGGCATTCTCTTTTTAAATTCTGTCTGTGACTTGGAATGTGAAGGTGGGCAGGTTCAGATATACAAAGCTGTAGGGTATATTTTATATTCCCCTGCTTTTGACAGATGTTCTGATCTGTACAGATATTTCATTTGTGACAAAGGGATGCTATAAAAGTGTGCTTTTATGTTCCTAAATGTTCATATAAAGCAGCAAGTGCCACTAACTGATCCGTGTAACTCCTCTTCCGTTTGAACCTGTGGACAGGAACGTGGCTTCCTTGTCAGTAGCCGACCACTCGTTTTCACATTCCTGTATTCTGGGGAGGCAGGTGCTGCAGACAGAAGTTAGCACAGGGCATTGTCTCTTCAGCTCATCTGCTGTCCTCTCTCACCTCTGCTCAGGTTCCTTCCCAGGACTGCCTCTCTCTCCCTCCTTTCTCCCCACCCCAGATGTGGTGAGGCTGACCTGACTTCCTGAACCACTGCCCGCCCCATGATTCTTTTTGGGTTGTTTTAAAGGTGTTAGGGCTAGGTTGTGGGGAGTTACATTGACAAATAAGTTGGCATCCACCTTGGTTTCTGAGCTAGTCTGTTCAACACCCAAATATAATTTAAAATTTATACAAGGGCCTTATCAGATATGTTTTAGAGATTGCCTTTATCTACAAGACTTTGTCCTCATTTACTGTTTCTTTATTACTGTATTATAATATAACACACAATATTTCTCTATAGAAACGTTCCTTCTGCCCCTGTCCCATCACCTCAAAATATTCTGGGGGAGTAGAAAGAAAATGATGCTCAGTTGCTGTTACTAACTAGTCATGTAGTGCATTGCAAGGTCCATGCTGGGTGATTGCGAAGGTTTTCTTTAGCTCCAGGACTGTGATTATATTCTTCTCAGAGCCTGTGTGTCTCCCCCAACTCTCATCTAAGCCAGTTCTATTCTTTGCATCCCATGAATCATGTCAGAACTCCAGAAGTCCCGGGTCTTACTTTGAGAACTAATGTACTCTCCCAAGCCTCGGGAGGAACCCCTTTTGTGATCAGCAGTGTGAATTCATACTGCCAAAGGGTTAATCTTCCAAGATTAAGTGCAGATTGGGTAAAATAAGAAAAGATCAATGGTTGTACTCTGCCATGAGTGGGGTGTTCAATCATGCAGGTTTCCAGCCAGATTTTAGAAATCTACATCACAGAAATCACCTGGGCGTCACACCCTGAGGAACTCTGAGTTAATGTGTGGTGAACAGAAATATCAAGTTTATGCCTATAGGGTAGTTTTCATTGGTATGAGCTTAAGCACAGAAAAAATGGGCTTGGTGGTGTTAATTTTTTTATGGGCAGTTGTGCGATAGCTGGTCTTGGAATGTTAGCAGCACTGTTGCAGAACTAAAAATGTTACCCAGAGACATTTTAAAAGAGCAATAAATATCTGGTTTTAAAATACAGACATTAAAAAAATTATAAACGTGGAAAGTCGTTTTTGGTAGTTGTTGTTTTAACATTGGAGCACTAAAGCTGCCTTTCCTTCCCTGGCTTTCTCAACAAGCAATTGTTTGGCTCAGTAATTTAGTGATTATCTGATTCTATGAACATTTAGGTATTTTATGCTTTAACATAAAGATTCCTGGAGGAGAGACTGTGCCTCTCCTCAGAACGATGTGTCCTCACAGTGTTAAGATGTGGCTGTGCTCAAGGCTTAGGGCTGTACACCCCGCGTGTGCCCTGCCATGGACAGTCCTTTGACGTGACGGGGTGACTTATGGAAGGCAGATATTATTTCTGGATGAGGGACATATAAGTTTGGTGCATACTCAGGAAGCCAACTGAAACCCTGGGTGCCTGCAGATAGCTACACCTGGCATTGTCTCCCTCGAGGAACTTGGACTGGTTTCTGCTACTGTCTGCTCAAGTGGGGTTCTTAGGCTGGGGAGAGCTGTGCCTCATGCTTAAACATGGCCAGGAAGAACACAATAATTTGTCATGCTATAAGACATAAAAATAACATCTCAAAATTTTAAAAATTGGAAAGCATTTCAACATTATGTTTTACTTGGTTCTGCCTCAGTTTCTTGTAGTTTCCACATTTTCTTGCTTAATATTTTACAATAAACATGGCCTTTTCCATACTAGTTGTGAATGTTACTGTGAATATTAAATATTAGCCCATCCAGGTACAATACGCTACTTATATTTTGTTTTATAGTTAGTGACTTAGATAGTTTGAAATTATGAAATGCAACACAACAAATGTGAGTATGTTGCTGTTATGTATTTAAAGAAAATTTCCAGCGGTGGAACTACTAAGACAAAGATTGGCAATACTTTAGTATTTTTTATGTGTATCATAAAATTTCATCCTTGTTTTCCAAAGGCATTCTCCCAGTTTTCAAAACTTCTACTTTGTGAGTACATTTACCTGAGCTGAGTTAATACTTAGCATAAATGAATTTTAACATATAAATTTAAAATCATAATTATATGTGGAAACAGTATAAATTGCGTAACACAGATATTCAGTAATTCAAGAGGTAAGCTGTTTGTTCATGTATTCGGGATTTTTCTTCCTCTTATTTGTATGTCTATTTTTATCTTCTCTCCACTGTAGGTTTTATAAATTCAACTTAGCTAACTAAATGTCAATTCATATTTTATAAATTAAACACCAATTATTCAAATTCTGAGCTTGAATAGACAATAAACTTGAACATTGTGCCTTTTTGACTGTGGTCAGGAAGCTTGTAGGAAGTACTATATATTTTCCATTTTTGTTTGGTGTGTTTGACTACAGAAAAATTGTTATTTTTTAAACGAGTCTAGAAGGAAGCTGCACGCAACACTTGTGCTTTGGATCAAAGGGTTGTAAGTAGTGTGTGTGTGTGTGTGTGTGTGTGTGTGTGTGCTGTAATGAAGGCAAGACTGAGAAAAAAATATTTCTGAACCCATTTAATCACAAGCTGTATCCTAACAAAAGCTTTCTACTTTCCAAAGCTCAGGTAAGATTTATTTATTTTTATCTATTTATTTTTGGCACTAGGGATTGAACTCACAACCACATGTGCTTACCAGGCAGGTGCTTTTGCTGCTGAGCTAAACCCCCAGCCCCAAGGTAAAATTTAAGAAGCCAAAAGTGCTCAAATAATAATAATAATAATGATAATAACCACCACTAAAGAAATTGGTTACTTAGCTTTAGGTGTTAGAGAAATCTTAAATGATTTAGGAACCTGCTCAGGGTATGCTTTAGTGCCAGAGACAAATGATACTCTTATTTTTCTAGCATTAAGGAGATTAGATTAAGAATTCCCATTACAGAGCACATAACCAGAATTTTTGTTGAGATGATGCCAAAAAAAATTAAGAAGCATGCTCTAAATTGGCAGAAGACTAACTAAAATCCAGAGGTATTTCTGCCATGACAAACCTATAAAATAATGTGATAGTTTTCCGTTCTCGAATTGCACCAGGAGTGTGCTTTTAGTTCATTGTTCATTGTAATTATGTAATAATGCCTATTCTAACTGCAGCATTTGTCCATATGTACTCAGAATTTGTTAGCAAGGGAGGTTTTTTTAAATTGGTGAATTCTAGTAGCTGTATACAAAGATACAAGATAGAGAGACAGATAAACTTTTTCAAAGAGTTAGAAATGTGGCGCAGTGATTCCAGTTCTCACATAATCATTAACTTAATGTGCTACTTTTGGTAGATAGAGCATTCAGCAAACTCCATGCCTCAGTGTGTTAATCTGGAAAAGGAGGGCGGCAGCGTCAGAGCAGCCTGGCCACCCAGGAGCGGTGCTAAACACGGAAATAAATACAAGGAAAGGGGCTTTGTGTGCGTGAAGAGTAAGACTGTGCAAAATGTTCTTCCTGAGTGGGATGTGATATGCTTATTCATTTGATTCCTTAAAACTCCTCGACAATTCAGACCCTTTGGTCTAAGTGTCCTGGGTCTCACTTGCTGTTGACCAATTAAATCTGGAAGGAGCTATAGGCATCCCCCTGTACCTCTTTCTCATCTGGAACGTTTAAACAGGCATTGCATGTGTAGTAAATGGTGTGTTTTAATAAACGTTCTGTAAAGGCCAATTATTCAGTTGATATTGAATTGTGTGGTAGGAAATATGGATCCTTAGTTACAGGGAAGATGTCTACATACTATTGGCATCTGTTTGGTAGGTAATGTTCTTAAGTGGCCTGGCCTTCCTCCAAAGTTTGATTATTCATAAATCTGTTGAGTGTGTTAAGTTGCATTATTAACGTTTAATCTTTTATTGAAGCAAACTCAGGAGGCTGAAATCTATTTGCTTTAGCAAGCTTGTTCACTGATAAATGCATGATTTGAAATTTTCCTTTTGTGAATTCCTCAGCACAAGAAAAACACAGCTGGGCATAGCACAGATCATATTTATCTTTTCATTAACTAAAGTTCAAGAAGATAGCACCATTGGAAGCTTAGAAGGAGGGATTGCTAAAGAACAGTCCTCCTCCTGTTTGCATACCCACTTGAGAAAAGCTTTCCAAACAAGTATTTGAGATACTTGTGAGAAAAGCTAGTTGAATTGTCAAAAGAAGACCAAATGAATGTATATAAAGTGGTTGGATTTCAGATAACATTTTCCCCTGAGTGTTTAGATTGGTTAAATATTAGAGAAAGGGAGATAATAACACTGTTTGTCGTCATAAACTTAGACATACATCTTTTTCACAAGGTTGGTATGAAAGGCCTATCAAAGATTTTCCATTCCAGATGATTTGGTTTCAACCTGATAAAAGACATTTTCAGTAGAGAAAGACTGGATGGTAATTGCACTAGATGGAACACAGACACTTTGTATAGATTTTATAATAGTTGGAATTTATTAGTTCTTGAGAATAAAGCAGTACTGGCTAGTGGGCTGTGACTGTGAAATTTAAATGTGTGTGTATTTATTTCAATTTCTCTGTGCAGTATTCTCTTTGTTAAAGATGGGCTGAAAAATTCTGTGAGATTTTGGAAGCACTTACTTGTAATGTACTGTAAACCTACTCATTAGCAGACAATTTCCAGGATGAAATAAGTGATATATAGCTGATATGAATTAATAATAAAGCCTTTAAATAGGAGGGTAGGATAGAATTATAGGAGTCATCTCCTCTATCTCTTGCCTCTGAGGATCGTGAGAATTCTGATTGTTTTTGTTTCTGTAGATCCCCCGACCTTTGGCAAAACACTGTGCAAACGAAAGAGATGAATAACTGCAGATTGATGTGTGTACTCTTGCAGAATTATGCTCTGAACAATTAGACTGTACAATAGACGCATTCCCCTTCTATCTTTCCTATTACACCTCAGCAGTATTTGGGAAGGGGTGGAGACTATGGAGAATAAAGAAAAGAGGCTCTTTTCTAGTCAAATGCAGTGTTTCTTAAGCTACTTTGGGCTCAATTCCTACCCAGTGCTGTCCAAAATGTCATGACTCCAGTAACTCATCATGGACTGGGGTTAATGTCTCACCTAGTGCCCATCCCCCAGGTCCTCTAAGTCCCTTTCCAAAGTGGGTGTAGTGTGGACAAGGACGGCTGTTTCCTGCCTCCGGTAACCTTGCGAGGCGCGTTGCTGAGAACTGAGCTGGAGCGTTTTCTGCTCCTAACAACATTCGCTAAGTCACAACTTGCTGTAGGTGGAACTTGTGTGAGCCTCCGTCTACTGATCTGTGGCTCTAGATTGGTGACTACTTGTTTCTCTTATTTTTCTTTTGTTTTAAAGCATATAAAACCTATATCAATTTTTACAAATTTTATAAGAGAGTTTAATAAAAATATTGGGGAAATTACAATGGACAGTTAAAAAAATCGTAACTAGGAAAATGAATTATTTTTCCTTATGATCATCCAGTGCACCTCATGTAGTTTATGAAGAAGAAAACTTCAACCACGAGATGTAAAGAAAGTTTTTCAAAGTCCATAGAGTTTGTAGGAGGGCAAGGACTAGAAACTAGGCCTCCAGCCAATGGTTTTTCACTTCCTTTTATATCTTCCACAAAGTGACTTAAAATTTCAAAGAAATCTAAAAATGGACAAAAACTGAAAGCTTTCACTTTAAAATCATAAATAAGACAAGGATGTCCACGATCACCTCTCCTATTCAACACAGTACTGGAAACACTATCCAGGCAAGAGAGAGAAACCAAAGGAATAAAGATAGAAAAGGAAGATGTTAAAATTATCACTATTTGAAAATAACATGATACTCTATAGAGAAGAACCAAAAAACTCCATTAAAAGGTTACTAGAAGTAATAAACAAATTCAGCTGTGTAGATGAATACAAAGTCAGTGCTCAAAAGTCAATACCATTCCTGTACACTAACAAAAAACTCACCGAGAGAGAAAATATGGAAATATCACCCTTCAAAATAGCATCTAAAAAAATGAAATACTTGGGAATCAACCTAACTAAGTATGTAAAAGATGTATATGCTGCAAATTATGCTATGCTAAAAAAGGAACTGAAGAGGATGTTAGAAAATGGAAGGATATTCCTTGCTCTTGGCTAGGAAGAAGCAATACTGTGAAAATGGCCATATTCCCAAAACTCTTATACAGATTTAATGCAATCCCAATCAAAATACCATGAACATACCTCACAGATCTAGAGAAAACAGTCCTAAAATTCATTTGGGAACAGGAGAAACCTAGAATAGCAAAGGCAATTCTGTGCAACAAAGGCAAGGCAGGAGGCATCTCAGTTCCTGACATGAAACTATACTACAAAGCCACAGTGATAAAATCAGCATGGTACTGGTAAAGAAATAGACCTGAAGATCAATGGAACTGATTAGAAGATGCAAGCACTACTACAAAGACACTCAGCCACCTAATATTTGACAGAGGGGCTAAACATGTTCACTGGAAGAAGGATAGCCTCTTTAAAATATAAATAGTGTTGGAAAAATTGGCTTTCCACATGCCAAGGACTGAAACTAGACACATGCCTATCAACATGCACAAAACTAAAGTATAAATGGGTCAAAGACCTAAATATTAAAACAGAAACACTAAATCTACTGGAAGACAAGGTAGGCAGAAGTCTTGGAGACATAGGGGTAGGCAGAGAATTCATGAACAAAATGCAAACTGCACTGGAAACATTTCAAAGAATCAACAACTGGGATCTCATGTTACTGAAAAGTTTCTGCACTTCAAAAAAAATCACCAACAGAGTGAAAAGAAAACCCACAGAATGGGAAAGCATTTTAGCCAACAACCCCTCAGACAAAGGACTTATATCCATAACATATAAAGAATTGAAAAACATCAAGCCCCCCGAATTCAAAGACCCTCTCCAAAAATGAGCATCCAAGATGAACATACAGCTCTCAGATAAAGATATACAAATGGAAAATAAATACATGAAGAAATGTTCACCATCACTGGTCATTCGAGAAATGCAAATTAAAACAGTATTGAGATTTCATCTCACTCTAGAGAGAATGGCTGCCATCAAGAAATCAACTGATAACAAATGCTGGCAAGGATGCAGGGAAAAAGGGACATTGCTCCACTGTTGGTGGGAGTGCAGACTGGTGCAACCACTATGTAAATCAACATGGAGATTTCTCAGAAGACTAGGATTGGAAGTTCCATTCAATCCAGCTGTTCTCCTGCTAGGTATTTTCCCAGAAAAACTGCAAAGTTCGTATCACAGTGATATACGTGCACCCATGTTCATAGCAGCACAATTTGTATAGCTAAATCTTGGAAACAACCAAGATGCCCATCAACTGCAGAGTGGATGAAAAAGAGCTGGTGTTTTTATACAATGCAATATTACTCAGCTATAAAATGGATGATCTTGAGGCCTTTATAGGCAAATGGAGACAGCTTGAGACTACCCTCATTAGTGAAATAAATAAGAATCATATTTATAAATATCACATTGTGTCTCTAGTGTAAAAAGTAATTAGAAATGTAGGCGTAATAAAACCCCAAATGTGTAATGGCTATTATAAAAAAGAGGAAAAGAAAGTGCTCTAAAGGATATAACTGCATGTATGTTTAATTTAATATTTAATATTACTAAGTTTTTGTTGGATATTTGAACAGAATTGTTTGCAGTCTCACTGTTTAAATGTCCACTTTGTATGCTTACTTTTGTAACTTGAACAACTATTTCTAAGAGGACAATATGTAATTTTGATTTCTTACTGTTTATTTTTTTGAAACTATGTATTAATTCTACTCTTTTTCTGCTTTTTTTTTTTAAATAAAAAAAAATCTGAATGCTGGAAGTCAGTGGATGATGTGGCAGCTCCACGACTGTCTCAGAACTCTGGACCCTTCTAACTTCCTGCCACATTATCACTAGGTGTCACCTTCCACGCCGTGCACCCAAGATAGTCGCTAATTGGCAGCCATTCTGTGCATGGCCTAAGCAATAAAACCTTCTAGAACAGGAAGAGTTCATGCCCACTAGTCAGATGCCTTCAAACTGCTTTTCTAGAAGCCTCCAGACAATGATAACTGCTTATTTCTAATTGAACGGAAGTGCTGCAGCTGCAAGACAGCCAGGGGAAGAACATGCATTCTTTCCTTCTCTCCTTCCCTAACATCTTCATTTCCTGTCTTTTTTTTTTTCTCTTTGTCTATAATCTCCTGACTGGAGATCTAATTGGATCTATTAACAAAGTGAATAAAAAGTATAATTGATATTGAGTAGGTATCTTTTTCTTTCTGCACTGCTATATATTATATTTAAAAATGACTTTTAGAGATTGAAAGCAGATTTTTATTGTGTTTTTCTTTAGCATCATTTCCTCCAAAGTGCTAAAATGAAAGGGTGAAACGTAAGATGGATCTGTAAGTGCAGCTTGTTTTCTATGAGTGAGACAGTGGCAGGAGTCTGTTGCATGTTCGCGTGCTGTGCTCCGTTTTCGGTTAGACGCTGGTTCTGTTGGTTCCGTTGGCTGGAGGTGGGTTTAGCAATGACTAAGAATGCTGCCTTCAGAGAGCCATGCTGCATCAATAACAAACACTACTTAAATATTTAGAAATAAATAGCAGGTAGCATACTTGTTTTGCCCTCTACAATTACTGGATGCCTGCAAGTGCGAAGCCATGTTGAGTAATTTGAGACCTGGACTAACAGTGGCATAATCACCAGGCTGTGCTGCAGGGAACTAAGTCTTTTGACTCCTAACTTTACAGAAGGATGCATTCATGGGCGACATTGAGAAGGATTTATTTCCAGTCTGTCATTGGTCATGAGATTTATGGAACTATCTGGTTATGAATTTGTCTCTTACTAAGCTTAGTTCCTCTTCATCCCTTTATTTATGTGGACTTGAATGTAAGGAATACTTATTTAGAGTAAGAAATTACCAAAGGGAAAACCTTCCTTGGAGTCTGACTGGCAATCATGTGACCTCATAACTTACACACTGTATATAGGTTTTGGTCTTGATAGCATCCAAATTAGTGACTTCCGAAGATGTCAAGGAAATTCAAGCAGCAATAATTCCCAAAAACTCCCACATCCCGAAATCCATTAATGTCAGTCTCTCCACTAAGTGAAGAACGGTTTTTCCGTCCACGGCCACTGACTTCTGTCTCTTGATACTGACCACAGGAGTACTGCAGGATGGGTAGGAGGTCCTGGTAAAGTGAAAGGGCTGTAGAGGATTACAACCAGCTTTTAAGTCACCTGCTAGCATGAGAGAACGTGGTGAATACTAGAAGGAAACCCCACCCTCTTACCTTAGGCTTTTCCTAGAGCGTTGGCTTTGGTGGGCCTTATTGACTCGGTGTTTTATTCTCATGATCGTGTTCCACTGTACTCCAGGGCTGGTCAAGCACCTAGGCAGGGTGCTGAACCTATAGCATGTGTGCTACATGGGCTGTTTGTATCGTTGCAAGCTCTAAAATGCTCACCTTGGAGCACTGGCCTTGGAGTTCCCATCTGGGAGGTCACACATGTGTTCTTTCTAGATCTCTCATCTGAAAAGAACCTTTTGACAAGGCTGGTCAACCTTGAATTTTTCGATAGTTACTTTGGTGTCAAATTCCAAATTCTTTGTCATTATTTTAAGCTGGATTATTGGAAGTGCTGTATGTTTTAGGCATTACTATTAGTATGGATAAGATATTAGAGCTTCTTCACTTGGTCAAATGATTGATGCACATCCTTGCTTTGGGGCATGATATTAAGTCTGGAATTTATAGATCTGGAATTAAAACCTAAAATCTAAGTACAATAAACCAAGGTTTATAACATACCTAACTTCCAAATTCTGTGGAAAATCTGATCCTCACATGTCACATGGGAAAATAAATCTTATGTACCTGTGAACATGATGATTTTGAAGTAACAGAGTTTCTTAGGAACCTGTTTGCCATCATGGGACGGCAGTCCTTGGTCTGGAGCCCATCGCGCCTGCCTGCCAGCCCTTATCAGTTCCTGGTCCTATGAAAAGGGCCCTATATATTATCAACAACATGACCTGGGAGCCAGGATCAGCCCTCGCAGTTACCCACGGAAGGAGAAGTGATTTTGAATGAACCATTTGAGGATGCTACTACTTACCGTATATCACAGCCCTGATAAAGTTATTTTCTTTAAATTAAGATTGACTTATAGATCACAACTGAGCTTTCTCTAACATTGTTTGCTTCACTGCTGTTTGAGCAGATTGTTGGTAGAGATCCTGACCAAAAGCTTAAGCAGCGGCCAGCTCCAAGCGCAGCTCCTGGCAGCAGGCCACAGAACGACCTCCCGTCTCCTGCCTTGCTGCTGCCTGAGCAGCACCCAGTGGGAAGACCCGCTGCTGACTTGCAGGATGAGACTGGTCTCTGCAGCATGTGTGACTTAATGCTCACTCATTACATAATGTCAGATACTTGTGTAAAAGAAATAAATGAAGTTGCATATTACGTGGTGATTTGAACACTGCATTTGAAGGAAGAGCTTCTCTCACAGCGGGAAGAGATGAGTGAGATGATGCAAGAAAATGGCTCCTGATTGTCTGTCTTGGGATAAGTTGGTTAAAGACCAGGAGTTAGTTTTTTATCTGCTGAATAAGGATGTAGAATTAAAATAATTCTAAGGCTCCTTCATTCAGGGTTCTATGTAGTCTATGTAATCTCAGAAATGTGATCACAGTTGTACTTGATATTTTTATATTTTAAAAATGTATTTGTTTATAGCACCACTATTTTCACAAAGTACTTGAGGCAATTTGCAACAGAAATCCAGATACAATAAAAAGGAAGACTGGTAAAATAAGATAGCTCTCTAAAAGTAAAAGAGGAAAAAGAGAAGGGAGAAAGAAGTGCACTGAACTAATTCTGAAGAAACTGTAAAGAGGTACAGAACTCATCTCTGAGCTTCCCAATAGCCAAGGCAAAAATGCCATCACCAATTTATGGAAAACAAAATGGCACATAAATTTATTTTCCCATGTGACATGTAAGAGTCAGATTTTATACAGGAATTTGGAAGTTAAGTATGTTATAAGCCTGGGTTTATTTTACGTAGATTTTAGGTTTTAATTCCAGGTCTATAAATTCCAGACTTAGTATAACTACAGTCTGAGTCTACCCTGTGTGAAAGTGGTCATCCTCCTCTTCAATCCATTAACTGACAGCATATTAATTTTCTTATCTTTCCATTTACTTTCCCTATCCCTTGCGACATAGTTTTCCCCATAATTTACATGTTATCTTTCTACCAATATAATATATAATTTAAAATATTAGAATGAAAATTTTAATTAATTTCACTTACTTAGGCTTTCGTTGAAGTGTAGAATTTATATGTATTTTCCTTGTAGCCCTGATTCTTTTATGCTAAAAAAAGGGAAAGATTTTAACTACATAAGCAAACTGGTGCTTGTTTTTAGTTATTTAAACAATCATTACTAATTTTTTGATAGTTCAATTTTTTATTTTATGATAATGCACAATTGTATTAATTATTGATACTAGTGAAATTAATTGGAATGTAGAATAACATTTCCTTGTTTTTTCAACAACCTTGTTTATGAGTAAAAGAGTATTTAAAAATAAACTTGTGTGTGTGTATAATCTAAAGGTAGTTTATACCCTGAAGTTCCTGTTAGTGGCAAAAATTTGATATGTTTTCCTTTGAGGGAAAGGTAACAAATAACTGATATACCCAGCTCACTGTTTAAGGACAATTTGTGGGTTTTCTCATTTCTGGTCAAGGCAAAAGCAGAGGAAGCTTTAGGGAGTCAGCTGAGATGAATTCAGGGGTGACCGTGCCTGGGTTCTGTCCCCAGCTCTGGCAGAGACGGCCAGTGTCCTGGAGTATCTTTTATGTAACTCCTTATATCTCATTTAAAACATCTGCCTTTTTACAGCAAAACCAAACACATTCTTTTTTTTTTTCTGTCACTATATTAATCACATTAACTAGTGTTAGCTGCCCCAACAGAAAAATCTCTAGGCTTAGCACTGTCTTGTTCGATGTCCAGTAATGGTAGTGGGTCATTTCTCCATAAGTGGACTTGGAGACCCAAGTGTTGTTAACAGGTATCACTGTAATGTGAGTCTTCTGAGTTCAACCTTGGAGAAAGCAGTGATGAACAAGGATCGGAGCTCTCCAAGCCCACCCCACGTTGATCCATCAATTTCATTTCTATTTCATTTGTCAGACTTGGTTACAAGTCTAAGTAGATCAGGACAAGCAGAGCTGGGAAATGAAGAAATTACATATAGAAATTGACAAGGTATGGAAAAATTGAAGAAATCTTTATGTCTTAGAGGTATCTTATGTAACATAAAACTAATCACTGGTGAGTGAAGGAGGCCTTCCCAGAGGAAGCTTCGTAGCTAAGCTTTTGCCTTTGAGTAGGAGTTCCCAGAAAGGACATTTTAGGCACAAAGGCCTGTTCTGTTTTGGCAGTAAAATACTAAAATATGTGCCAGTATGCTATGAAATATAAAGTGTATCATTATTACTAAAAATGCATTTTT